CACACATCTCTTCCCTCGCCTCCCACCCAGGTCTTTCCTCAAGTGGGGCGTTCTCACTGGGGCTTCCCTTGACCACCTTATTCCCGATTGCAACCCCCAGCCCTAACTCTAACCCTCACCCTTTCCTTCGGGATGTGAATTTATCGCCTTGGATGTATTGAATTTCCTCCTTATTTATTCCATCCCTTCTCTGCCTGTACCCCCTTTAGAATGTGGGCTCGCGTTGTGTTTATTTACCGCTGTTCTAGGTCGGGGCCAGGGCTCTGAAAGGTCCTTAATAAATACGCGCCAAGTTCATCGGTTAGTTACTCCCCCCTCCCCCCCCCACCCCCTAGCTCGCGCTCCCGCCGCACCTTGGCCTTGGAGTTGAAGAAGGCCTTCGTGAAGAGCTGGATGGGGAGGTGGGAACTCATGAGGCGGGGGCTGGACTGGTCCGAGAGGCTGAAGGCACCCATGATGGTCTCACACCAGGGTGCCCGCTTCCAAATGGGCACGGAGTGAATCCAGGAGGGATCCCCGTCCTTCAGAATTAAGCTAAGGATCTCGATCATCCAGTTGGTGCCTGGCGGGAGAAATGGGACAAATGAATCTGAGGTGGACGAGGGCGAACGGGGCATAGCATCGGATTGATTGATTGATTGATTGATTGATTATTAGTTAATTTTTTTTAAGCATCGGATTTAGAAACGGCTGCGTTTACTGCACAATTGGCTAGGTATCTTATTGCACGGATTCCTCACGACCGGCGGGAGAGGTGGGGTTGGCTTTATTTTTCAGAGCAGGAAACTGAGGCCCAGAGAAACAAGGTCGCTGGCCCGGGTGGCAGAGCTGGGAAGTGGAGCGTGGCGGAGACTGGCTAGCTGTCCACCCAACCCCATTTCGCTTTCCTACCCGCAGTAGGACGGGACTACATTCTTCTAGCCTCCCCTGCAGCCGCGCGGGGGCCACGTGACTGAGGTCTGGCTGGGGAAGTACAGGTGTCAGCGATATGCAGCCCTTTCCAGGCCTGGCCCATAAACTCTCCCCACGTGACCCCCACTCTGTCTCTCCCCGGTCTGCTGGTTGGATGCAGAGATGCCAGTGGAAACTGGGGCTCCCGGGGCTGCCTGAGACTGCCGGATTCGCCCCACTTCCCTCCAGCCATCCCGCACTGCTTGGAGTTTATAGGATGAGAAATAAACTCTCGGGTCCAGCTTTCTGAGCTGCTGGGGCTTATGCGTTAGGACAGAAGCACTGCGCTAATACATATGGAGAAGTTGGCATTGGATCCAGGCGTCTGGACTTAAGATCTCAGCTCTTTTCGCTGCCCTGATTTTGTGGGGAGCCACAAACAACATGTAGAAGTGAGGGACCTCATCGATGACCCGGTTCCAGCAGACTACAGGCGAGTCGGACGGGAAATAATATATTCACGTTAGTGAGCAGCTGATATTAGTATCGTGTTGCCTTGGGTGACAGCAACCAGCCTGTGCCAGTTCTCAGTGTATTGCGTCTGGGCTCCAGAGCCACGCTTGGTTGCCCTGTTCTGTGATGGTGGAGCTTGGACCCTGCCAACATGGGGGTTTTTTTGTTGTTTTTGGGTTTTTTTTTTGCCAGCTAGCTCAATGCCAAGCTCTGTCAGTAGAGGGCGCTGCAGGCGCCCCGCAGGAGGACGGTGTTTCTGCTCCCGGTTTTGATGGGCTGCTCTCCGCCCGCCCCTGTGATGGACAGCGGCCCCCCCTAGCTCCGCGGCAAATTCCATTGGGCGCTCTGCTTCAGCCCCAGAGAGGGTGGCTGCTCCCCGTCTCAGCAATTCCTGTGTCCGTTGGGGGTCTCTTTAACCCTTGGTAGTTGAACCCCCCGTTACTAGTTCATAATTGTTTTCTTCTGGGTGTGCGGTGAAAGGTAGAGAACATAAAATTGACCACTTTAACCCTTTTTAAGTGTCCAGTTTAGTGGCGTTAAGCTGTGCAACCATCACTTCCGCCCGTGCCCCGAGCTATTTCCAACGCAGCCTGCTGTTCCCAGAACGGATTTCTGCAGCTTCTTCGAAGGAGGGAAATTTGACTATGTCCATCAGAACTGCAAATGCGTGGATGCTTTGACCATACCTAAGAGTTTAGTCTACATAATAGATAAACGCAGGTGCAAACGCATAGGCGTGTCAACGATACCTGTACCAAATGGGCCACTGTGTCTGGAGTTTATATTGTGCATAAAGGCAAAGCGTTGGAGGCTAGTCGATGCTAATTGCTAAGGAGCTGGTTAAGACAAATCTTGAAAATACTATGCTGAGTGAAAGAAGCCGGTTACAGAAGGCCATGTAGTGTAGGATTCGTTTCCACGAAATGCCCAGAACAGGCAAATCCATAGAGACAGGAAGTAGATTAGTGGTTGCCAAGGGCTGGGGGACCCGGATGTGGGGTTCGGGAGGTGACGGCTAATGCGTGATGGCGGGATTTCTTGCTGGGCTGATGAAAATATCCTAAAATTGATAGTGATGATGGTTGTACAACTGATGAAAATTATAGTGATGACGGTCGTACAACTCTGTGAATGTACTACAGCCATAGAATTGTCCGCTTTAAAACGGGCGAATTGTGTGGTATGTGAATTATGTGTCAAAGCTCTTACCAAAAAAAAAAAAAAAAGAAAAGACGACCTCATAGAACTCCATGCCGAAAGGGTGAAAGTCATATTTTGAAAAATTTCAACACTGTTTTGTAAAACAAAGTCAACCCCATCATTTTAGAGAAGAAAAAGCTGACGTCTGTCCTTCCTCTCACTAAAACCTCCCCAAGGGACTCTGATTAAAGTCACCGCAGACCCTCCCAACCTTCCTTCCACAAAGATTTCCTGAATAATTAGGACGTGCCAGGCGTTGTTTTAGGCTGGAAGAACACAGCAGTGAACGAGACAAACGGAATTATCTGCCCTGTTGGAGCTCATGGTTGAATGGGGGAAACCAGAGACTAAGTCGACACAGAAATATACATCGTACAGCGGCTGGTAGTTGATTCATGAAGAAAAGGACGTGGTTATTTCAGGGCATAGAGAGGGACGCTATTTTAGCCAAGGAGGTCAGGGCCCCCGCCCTGGAGATGTGGGAGCTGATCCGGGGCAGGAGAAGGGTCTGGAGGAAGGATGCTGGGGGGCAGGGGGGGACTCTCCAGTACAAAGGCCAAGGTCACCCCAGTTCCGAACAGCCCCAGCCCTCCGTTCTGCTTCCCGTTGCCCTCAGGGCGCGCTTCCCAGCCTCTGTCCCACGCATGCGCCCCCCCCCACCAGCCCAGCGCAGCGAGTACCTGACTTGGGGTAGGTGATGATGAAGATGTCGTCGTCCTCCACCTCGGCGTTCTCCGTGATGCTGATGCTCTCGGGTGAGTAGATGCCGACTGGGAAGGGTATGCCTTTGTACCGGAAGTATTCTCCTGACAGCTTCTGGCTGTAGGAGGAGGGGACACCATGAGGACCGGGAGGAGGCCAGGACACAGGTCACCCGGAGTTGGGGTGAGGGCCAGGGGCCTGCCCTGCTTCCAGCTTTACAGCTGAGGCCTCCAGGACACATAGTGGCCGAAAAGTCACAGAGGAATCTCAGGAGAGGAGGGCGGGCTGGCCCACAAATGGGTGAAGGGCACCCCACTCGCTCGCGGGACCCTGGCAAGGAACGTTCTCTGCACCTTGCTTTTTTCACCTGCCAACTGAAGATAGTTTACCGAAAGCCCACGACAATCCTCTGAGATGACAATGCTTCTTCTCCCCATTTTATGGGCAAAGAAAGCGAGGCACAGAGAGCTCGAGCGACTTGCCCAAAGCCACACAGCCGGTGGGACGTGGAGCACTTTACGTCTGCGAAGTGGGGCTAACCGTGTTTCACACATTTACTCTTCACCCCCAACTCTCGAGGAAGACGCTAAGTCACCACCCCGTTGGACCGATGAGGAAACCGAGGCCAAAGAAGTCGGGGGCGCTGCCCGCCCCTCCCCGGCCACAGGGTGGAGAGGCAGAGGCCACGGGCTAAGCCGGACATGGAGCCTGCTTTCCAAATCCCCCGCCATGTGTTCACACAGCCAGACACGGAAACAAAACGGTCTGAAATGAGATGTTTTAAGAGCAACCCTTTTGATCTACTGTCTCTCTCTGTCTCCCTCTCCCCCGGGGTCTCCTGTTCATGGTGTGGGACAGTGGTGGGTATCTGGGGGGCCCGGCTAAGGCCACATCGAATTGGAGACGCATTTCATGGGGCGTTTGTGGGATATTGATAAAGTTCAAAGTCACGTCTGTGTCTGTTACAGCAAGCCAGCTGGCTGCAGGACGTGGACGTAATGACATGAAAACTCGGGGGCAGAAGTCGGATCACAATATCACGCCTTCGAGGGCACCGGGCCCCAAAAGTAGGTGGTGGGAGAGGAGATTTAGGTTTGAAGTGTGCGAACCCGGAAGCTAGTGTATTATTTTTCTGGAATGTTGCGAGTATTTCGTCAGCTTTGAACGAAGCGAGTTGCTGTGATGTCTTTTCTCTCTCTAAATAAACATTTCCTCTACCTGGGGTTGTCGCCACCTGCCTTGATTCATTTTCTTAAGGAGAATTCCCTCAAAACAATACGAGCTTCGGCCCCCACAAAACCCAAAGCTGCCCAGGCTTAGGTGCCACGCTTCACGACCTTCCACGTATGTCTGCATAGTTAGTACACCTGGGACAATGAACTGGGAGGAAAAAATGTAGGTAGGTTATGTCGTCTGTGGATTTCATTTCAAGGTCGTGAGGAGGATGTTTCCAACCTTGGTATATAGAGGGTTGGGCTCCAACTGCACAGACAAAACTCAGAAACTTAATGTTGGATGAAGGCTGAGGGATGCAAGAGCATCCAGATCCCAGGATTCCAATTATGAGACAGTCGAACACATTTTTTAACAGTAGGGATAGTGGGAGGGTTTCATGTGTCAATACTAGTAAACATGATTGGCTGATGGTCCGCGTTTCATAAATCCGGGCTAAAATTATTATTAATACAGTGACAGAGGCAACTGGACATTGAGCCCAGAGGAGGGACTGCTTAGCACAGCACTTGGCACACAGTAGGTCCTCAGCACACAGTAATGACTTTCTTGTTCGGGGATGTCATCGGGTACGCCGATGGTGGAGGGTGGGTGATGGTTTTAGTGATGTCATGACTCTGGGAGCTGTGAGGTCATCAGTTACCAGGCAGATTAGCATAGCAGTTAAGCGCCTAGAACTCGGCTGTCTCTGTGCCTCGGACAACGGTTGCGCCTCTCCGAGCCTCAGTTTCCTCTTCTGTCACTTGAGGATAACGGTAACATCTACCTCAGCGTAGATATTTCATCTCTTTTACTCCTACCCGAGGATTAAAAGGGATGAAATATGCAAAGCGCCTGGCTCCTGATACACGCTCAGGAAACTAAAGCTCCCGTTTGGTTTGGTGTCGGCTTTATCTCTGTCTTTGATCTCGGGACGGTTCCTCGGGGAGATGTTTCCTCTGGGTTTACAGGAGAGGAAAACGTGGACAAGGGAAAGGCCCTGGGCCCTCGGCAGTCCCTGGATAGTCCCTGGATGCCTAAGTGAACACTCGTCATCTCCAGATGGGGTCCCACCTGCAACCCAGGCAGCCAGGGTGGGGTCCGCAAGGCCGAGACGTCGCTGGTGCTCAGGCGCGTAGATGCACGAGTGTGCGATGCACGCGTGTGAGATGCACACGCGTGTGATGCACGAGGGGGTTTACCAGGAAAGAGAGAAGGAACATCAAGGAGCAGTGGTTATGCTCTCCACCTGCCTCCGAGGCTCCCAGCCCTGGCCCTTTAGAATTCCCCATGGGGCCTTCGGGGCACCCAAAGCCTGGCCTCTCCCCAGGCCAGCGGAGCCCAGACCACTGCTCCCCGGGAGCCCAGAACGGCCAGTGGCTCAACAAATAACCGAGCACCGATGTTCACCAAGCGCGAATGCGGGGAGCTGGGATCCCCTCGCGTTTACAATGCTACGAGTGAGAAAATGGGGGTGCAGGGAAGGGGAGCGATCGGGCCAAGGCCACACGCGAGCACCAGGCAGAGGTGGGATCGGAACCTCAGCCCCGTGGACAGTTTCTGTGCCGGCCCCTCCTTCTCCTGGGATCCCACACTCCAGCTCAGGTCCCCAAGGCCCTGAGCGCTGTTCCCACCCCCAGGCCTTTGGAGCTGCTGCTCCTCCGGCTGGCGACCAGTCCCCTACCAGCTCTGAGCTTGAGCACGGAGGCCGGGGAGGCCCCCACCTGGGCCCCCGCCTGGCTGAGTCGCACGCACGGCGTGTCCTGAAACAGGTGCTGTGCGCCTTCTCCCTCACCTCAAAAACCCAGTCTGGCCCCAAGCGGACCTTTCCTCGCCCTGGGTCACAAGCCCGTTCTGTCTCCAGGCCACATCCAGGACCTGGCCTGCGGCTGTCGCTCGTCAGGGCAGAGGAATGAGGATGACAGTCCACCAGGGTCGGAGGCTGCCACAGGAGGAACCGGCACACACGACAGGACCTGCTTGAACTCCTGGAAGGTGCCTGGCCCGCCCTGCTCCGAAAGACCCCAGGACTCGAGACTCTCAGAATGGTCCAACACGTGGACTCTCCTGCCTCCCGCCCCCCACAGTCCACCAGCCCTGGTCCTCTCATTCTGTCCCCACGGCCCTGGTCTAGCTCAGGTCTCCTCCTTGCCCCCCGGACCTCCACTGCTTGGCTGCGGCTCTTCGGTCCGAAACTCAGGGCCCCCCCTCTGGCCTCCTCAGACCTCCAAGACCCTGTTGGAGTTTCCTTCGCAGGAAATTCTATGTCAAGGACATGTGTTATCGCGGACTCTTCCCAGAACCCTGCGGGGTGGAGACTGAGAGCACCGCTTTATAACGGGAGAAACGGAGGCCCAGAGAGGTTAATGTATTTCCCCAAGATCACACAGCAGTCTTCAAAGGAGCACTCAGCAAATCCCTGTCGCCGAGCCTCCACCCTTCCCTCTGCTACTAAGACACAGTGTGTTTGTTTCATTTCGTGTTTTCTCCCCAGGGCCTGGCACGCAACAGGTGTGCAGTAAAGATCCCCTGGGGGTGGGGGCTGTCACCCATCCAGAGGCAGCCCAGCCGACGCAGGGGAGAATGAAGACGGGCCAAAGTTAGATTTGGATTTGAACCCAGGCTCTGCTACCAACTAGCTGTGTGATCCTGAATACATGGCTTAACCCCTCTGGGCCTCAGTTTCCTCACCTGGAGACAGAGAATCGGAAGGAAGGCCTCCCTCGAAGGGACTGGGTCAGGATTAAAAGCTGCTGTCACCGCTGGCCCGGACTATCATGGTCGCCCCCTTACTGACCTCTCTGCTTCCGCCCCGGCCCCCGACAGTCTGTCCTCCCCACACGGCTGCCAGGAGGATCGGGGTAGAGCCTGAGAGGACTTCTGTCCCTCCTGCGCCCCAAAGCCTCCCATCTCCCTCGCCGTGACCACAGGGCCCAGCACCATCGGCTCCGGCCCCTCTCAGCCTCCTCTCCCCGCCACCCTGGCCCACTTGGCTCCGGCCACACTGGTCTCGCTGCTACGCTCCGGGCCGGGCCCTGCCTCAGGGCCTTTGCGCGGCCTGTTCTCTCTGTCATTCCGGCCTGTGACTGGCACCCTCGCCTCCTGCGAGTCTTCGCTCCCACGTCACCGCCTGTCAGCGAGACCTCCCATGAAGCTCTGTGTACAAGCGAACCCACCCTCCTCAGCCACGTGCTTGCTTTCCCATGGCACTTGTCACCTTGGAGAAGCTCTAACTGTTTGCACATTAAATTGATTGTTTGCCTTGCTTCTCCAGGTTGCATACAAACTCCATGATGTCAGAGGTTTGGCTGCCAGTGTATCCAAAACATTGGCATACACAGAGGGTATATAAAAATTTGTTGAAAAATAAAAATACCACGGAGAGCGCTCCCTGGCACAGTAATCCCCATTACACCACGTCCCTCCACGGGTTTATTTCCTCAAGAACCCCAGAAGGCGACTGCTATTACTATTCTGTGTTACAAACAACGACATCGAAGCACAGAGAGGCAGAGTCGCTTGGCTAATGTCACACAGCTGCAGAGGGCAGAGCTAGGGTTTGAACCCAGGCGAAGTGGCCCCACGGTTTGTACCCCTAACCACTGGTGCCGTGGCGCAGAGTCCCCCGGCCTCCCCAGCCCCCCTGACACATTCTGTGAAGGCTGTAGGGGGGTGGGGGTGGAGGGTGGTCGAGAAGACGCGGGTTTGATCCCAGGCGACTCACATCACCTTTCTGAGTCTCGGGCTCTACCTCTCCCACCCCCTGTCGTGGTCACATGAGTATTTAACTCCAATAATATAACAATGTATTATTGTTATATTGTATTATATACACATTGTATATTATATGCCTCAGTGAAATATCATAACATAAGCAGAGATTTTAAAACAGAGTCTCGCCCAAGAGAGACGAAAACTTCCATTCACGC